AGCCTCTTTCTGAAGAAATACAGTGCCTTTATCATTGTCCACACAATTCCTTTTGGAATATGACAGAAGAACTGCCACCACCACCACCACCACCACCACCACCATCACCACCACCACCACCACCATCACCACCACCACCACCACCACCATCACCACCACCACCACCATGACCACAACCCCTGCCATGCAATGCTGGGATTCCCTCTGTGACAAGGCTTATCAGCCAATGAGCAAATCTACTTTATGTCTCTCACTGGGGGTCCAGCCTGCCTTTCCTGTGTTAATCTACCTTGTTTATCTGCACATATTCCAAATTTTGAACCTGGTATCTTTGTCACGTTGTCCATCTCTGCCTAGACTCATATTCCTCCTCTACTCTTTTTAGTCTCACTTGCCAAACATCCCAACTTTGATTTAAGACTCAGGCTAGGTGCCCTCTTTTCCATAACAACATCCATAATTCCTGTTCCATTGCAGAAGCTCATTTCCTGCTCTCTTGCTTTCCTATCCTGTTCTAGAATATGTCATAAAGAAATAAAAGACCTCTGCCTGCTCTGTGTATGTGTGTGTGTTACTAGGACTTAAACTCAGGGCTAGTGTTTGCTAGGCAGGCACTCTACCACTTGAGCGATGCCTCTGGCCCTTTATACTTTGTTTTTGGTTTTTCAAGGTGGGTGTGGAATTACCTTTATGCCTGGGATAGTCTAGTCTAGTCAGCTCCTCTGATTTGTGCTTTCCTATGTTGAAACTAACAGGCAAGAGTCACCGTACGCAGCTATTGTTCAGACTAAAGTCTCACAAATTATTACGTTGGGCCTGGTCTCAAACTGTTATCCCCTAACTTCTCTCCAAGTAGCTAGGAGCCACCACCCCAAGCTCAGAGCACTGTTCACTTTTAGGGAAATCTTTTTCAGAAGTAATATTTGTTCCATATTTTTCTATGATTATAAGATTTGGGTTGAGTGTATAGTTCAAGTGGTAGAACACAAGTGCAAGGCCTTGGGTTCAATCTCCAGTACCACAAGAAGAGAAAAGAAGAGGAGAAAGGGGAGGGGAAGGAGAAGGAGAAAGGGAAGAGAATGGGGAAAGGGAAGAAGAAGAGGAGGAGAGGAAGAAGAAGAAGAAGAAGAAGAAGAAGAAGAAGAAGAAGAAGAAGAAGAAGAAGAAGAAGAAGAAGAAGAAGAAGAAGAAGAAGAAGAAGAAGAAGAAGAAGAAGAAGAAGAAGAAGAAGAGGTGGAGGAGAAGGAGGAGGAAGAGGAGGAAGAGGAGGAGGAGGAGGAGGAGGAGGAGGGAGGAGGAGGAGGAGGAGACAAAAGCATGAAAAAGAGATTTTTAGATTAACTTTCATTATTATTCAGTCATTTAATAAGTATTTACTGAGAAACTCTATCTGCCAGACAATGGGATGCAATAATGAAAAGATGGACAGGGCTTCCTCTATCCTTGAGTCTAGTAGGGAAGACAGACACTAAATAAATGATCAATTACAGCTGCTGTAAGGAGCCATGAAGAAGTACAGAACAAATAGTAAGAGGACAGAGAGGTTTTCCTGGGAAAATTACATTAAATTAGAACTTGAAGGTAAGTAGGAGTTAGCCAAGAGAAGGTTCTTGAGAATATGTAAGTTGAATGTTCTCCAGGTATCCTCAGTACCTGGTCCGCTGTCTTATCTTCAATCCTAGCTTCAAATAATTCTAAATTCTTCTGGCTCTATTTTCTAGCTCCAAGCAGACTATTCTGTTTACACAAACAGTCATCAAAGTACGATATGATTTGTTGCATTTAAGTGTTCCTAGTTCTAATTACATCCCATTAGCCAATAGATGTTTCATATTAACTTTTCTAATTTCATTCTCAAGGATAACATTAACTTCATGCTGTAATGATTATTTTAATCGTATCTATCACTTACATGATGCAAAAACCCCTTGCTTTATTAACTGCTATTTCCCCATTGCTATGTTGGTTATTAATAGATGTTCAATATATATTCATTGGAAGGATGAATGGGTGAATGTATGTTGGATGGATGGATAGATGCCAGATAGATGGATGAATGGTTGGATGGGGTGAATGGATGGATGGATGTTGGGTAGATGGATGGATGCATGGTTGGATGGATTTTGTGTCTTATTCCAAAAGCTCTTTAAGAGTACAGTGCCCAGTCCACATTTGTGTTCTTCTACCGCTTAGGGAAATTCCTGCACATGCTATGTATAATATCTGAGTTGCTATTCACTAGCAGAAAGTTCCCCCTATTGTCTGGCTTCAGTCCCTCCTGCTGTTGGAAATTTGCTCGCTCCTCTGAGCCCCTTTTCCCTTGGAAAAGAAGGATATCCATGAGAACAAAAATGTGAAATTAGGCTGGGATGTAGCTCAGTGGCAAAGCGCTTGCCTAACAAGTGCAACGTCCTGGGTTCGATCCCCAGTACCAAAAAAGAAAAGACAAAAAAAATACAGTTAAAAAAAACCAAACAAAAATGTGAAATTAGAAAGCAGAACAAAATTATTGATAAAGGTCAAAACCTCTTGGTAAAGAAAAACCCCAGGCAAAGGCTGACCAATAGTAAGCCTTAGCCTCTTTTCCATCCTTGTTAAAAAGCAAAAGAACATCTGTCCCTCATTTAAGTTTACCAAGCTGGCAGCTTTGCCGAAGGCTATTGACAGCCTTGAGGCTTATCACCAGCTGCACTGAGTTTTTGTATTAGTCAGGAGCTTATAATAAAAATCATTTCTGTAATAGTATCGATAGCAGCATTGATACTATCAGTCATGCTGACCAAGTCAAGATTATGTTTTGCCTATGTTTTTGTGACTCAAGGCTATGTTTTGCTTCTGTAACTTGCAGGCTTGCCTCAGTAGCAAGGCCTTAAGCCCACGGGTGACACCATCACTGTCCTCCAATTGAAGACCACCACCGAGTGGTCCCACTATGGGCAGCCTATTGCACATTATTGCATATGATCTTTACCATAAGGAACAAATGAATTTAAAGGTCAGTTAACCATAACCAGTGAAAATGTGCCAAACCTCCCTTACATGACTGGTCTATGTAACTCTATGTAACCTACCCCTATAAAACCCATCCTCCCCTCAGCTCAGGGCCGTTCTCTACTTTCCCAGTAGTAGGAAGCGGTCCCCTCACGGCTGTAATAAACTTACTGGCTCCTTTAACTGAAAATCTTGGAGTCTCTTTTGGATCCGGGATGTTATACTATGTAATCAATCAATATGTTTTTTGAAAAATAAGAAAAAAATCCTCGCCGGACACCAGTGGCTCACGCCTGTAATCCTAGCTACTCCAGGAGGCTGAGATCTGAGGATGCAGTTCAAAGCCAGCCGGGGCAGGAAAGTCCATGAGGCCACTCAGAAAACCAGAAGTGGTGCTGTGGCTCAAGTGGTAGAGCACTAGCCTTGAGCTGAAGAGCTGAGGGACAGCGCCCAGCCCCAGAGATCAAGCCCCATGACCAACAAAAAGAAAAGAAAAGAAAAAGAAAAAGAACAGCGGCCAGATTCTCTGCAGTAAATTGCAAACAAGATATCTTTCTAGAGTGAGGAAAAGTATTTTAAAAATACTTTTAAGTACTCCTAGAACACTTCAAAGACAGACACACCTCTCATTAAGTTGGTAGGGTGTTAAAACTACCACAGACAGCCACTGTCCAAGCAGGTTCTCTATGCAAAGCAGGAACCCAGCAATAATAATAATTAATGTTTACTTCACAATTAATTAGACTTTACTGGTTAATGCACAGAACATGCTTGGGACATAGGTCAGTTTCCATGCTTTCTAAATGTAATAGAAAATAAGGGCCTAAGTGTATTTTTGCATAGATGCTGTGGCCTGAGTGAAGGAGAAAACTGTAATATTGAAGTCTTGAAGTCTCCAGAGCCAAGATCCAGACTGGTCTTTGGACCAGCTGAGAAGCAGCTGAGAGAAGCACTCTGGGTCCAACCTCATTATTATCCGACCTGTGAAATGCTGTGCATTCTGAGGTGAGAGGTCAAGGGAGAAAGGCAAGCAGAAGTCAGACATTGAGGACTTACTGAGTGCCAACCCTGTATTAGGCTTTGAGTACTGAAATATGTCAGAAATGTTCCTAGATACATATTTAACATATAATAGCCCAAAGCTATGTATATAGGTTTGATATTAGTATTTGAAATAAGAACAGTGTTAGCTGGAGGCTTAGGTATCTTTTCATTACACATAGGTTTTTATTGTAGAAGGATTTACTGTGAATCCTCTTAGAACTGATACACCTGGGTTGGAAAGAGTCTACGAAAATAAATGTGCATGTGTTTGATCTGTCCAATTTCATTGTATTGTACATACAAAAGACATTTTCGGAGATTCCTTTTGAAAAGCAAAGAATCATTTCAAAATCATTTATAATTTGAATAAAGGCCTACTTTATATTGGATTTTCAAGTGTGAGGAGTCTTCCAAGCAATAGCTTTTAATATTTGGGGAGATTTTTTGAGTCTCTCAAGGGACTGTAGTGACAGCCACATGGGTTTTTCCCAGAAGAAAATATAAATGCACCTGTGAGTGAAAGATTACATATAATTTCAAGGTCTGTAAACTCAAGGCTAAGAACTAATTTTTCACATGCATTGCTAATGAGAATGTAAATTGGTATAAAGGCCATGGAGGGAAATTTGGCAAGAACTAGCAGTGTTAGAAATGAATACACCTTTGACCAAGAATGTCCACTTTCAGAAGGATGCTTCAAAGAGGATTCAGTACATGGGTGAAATGATGTTTGCACAAAGATAGTAACTACAAAATTATTTACTAAAGTAAAAATTGGAAGTGGAGCTTTGCTCAAGTAGTTAGAGTGCTAGCCTTGAGCACTAAAGCTCAGGCCCTGAGTTCAAGCCCCAGAACTGGCACACAGGTGTACACATGAGTGCATGCACGAACGTGTGCACACACACACAATTGCTGAGGTGACCTATGTGATCTTATCCATCATAGTGTGAGAGTCAGAAGTTCTACATTGTGTTCACTTTGGTATACTAAAGTTGGAATGATACAGAGAAGATTAGCATGGCCCCTGCACAAGGATGGCACGCAAATTTGTGAAGTATTCCATATTTTTAAAAAATGTATACTACAACAACAAAAGATCTGAAGCAACTTTAACATCTGTCAATAGTGACTGGTTGAAAAAAATTCTATATGCTCAAAATTGAATATAATAATCATTCTTAATTAAAAAAAAGAATGAGCTGAAGGTATGGCTAAATGGTAGAGTGCCTGCTTACCTAGCAATATATGACACCATATCTAAGATATAAGATAGGAGAAATGAAAAGAGCTGAGATATAGAACACTATACCTCATAAAAAGAGTTAGAAGGGGGCTGGGAAGGTGGCTTAGTGGTAGAATGCTTGCCTCCCATGCATGAGGCCCTGGGTTCTATTCCTCAGCACGACATAAACAGAAAAGGCCAGAAGTAGCACTGGCTCAAGGAGTAGAGCTCTAGCCTTGAGCTAAAGAGCAGAGGGACAGTATCCAGGCCCAGAATTCAAGCCCCATGACCGATGAGAGAGAGAGAGAGAGAGAGAGAGAACCAGAGAGAGACACAGAGAGAAACAGAGAGAAACAGAAAGACAGAGAGAGAAAGACAGAGAGAGAGAAAAATGGATAAGAAAGTAAATAGTATAGATGTTATAAAAAACAAATTTAAAGCCAGGCACCGATGGCTCACACCTGTAATCCTAGCTACTCAGGAGGCTGAGATCTGAGGATCGCAGTTCAAAGCCAGCCTGGGCAGGAAAGTCCATGAGACTCTTATCTCCAATAAACCACCAGAAAACAGGAAGTGGTGCTGTAGCTCAAATGGTAAAGCGCTAGCCTTGAGCTGAAGACCTCAGAGACAGTGCCCAGGACCAGAGTTTCAAGCCCCACGACCGACAAGAATAAAAAGAAAGAAAAAAATCAAAATTTTAAGTCAGTTGGGTGCTGACAGCTGATGCTTGCAATTGTAACAGCTCAGAAGGATGACATCTGAGGACTAAGGTTTGAAACCAGTCTGGGCAAAAAGTTGGCAAGGCTCTAAGTCAACAAATGAGTTCCACATGGTGATGCATGCTGTAATTCCATTGACATGGAAGGCATACGTAGGAAAATCATGTCCAGGGCTGGCCCCTAGCAAAAAAAAAAAAAAAAAATGAGGCCCCATTTGAAAAATAAGTAAAGCAAAAGGGGATTCGACTGTAGTTCAATTGGTAGACTGTATGCCTAGCAAGCATGAGGCTTTGAGTGAGGCCCTTATAGACAAATCCTCAGCTCTAGGGCTTGAACTCTGGGCCTGAGCATTGTCCCTCAGCTCTTCAGCTCAAGGTGAGTGCTCTACCACTTGAGCCACAACGTAAGGTAATAAGACAAAGTTAACAAGACTTGAGAAACTAAGGGCCTCCACTCATCTGGTCGAATCACTACTAAATAATCCCATGCTGCTGATCACATATATGGAATATATGTGCACACTGGAGGGAAACCAGGAGGATGACACAGAACTAGAGGGAATCAGGGAAAAACAGGACCCATTAGCTGCACTGGACATTGATCAAAACGAACTAAGCAACTCAACTGCAGCAATGGGAGGGAGGGAACAAGTGGGAAAGAGGGAACAGCTTGATGCTATGCAAAACAAAATAAATGTACATATCACCCAGTGTGGAAGAAATAACTGTATCGCAAAGCTCATACAACTCATAAATTTTATAGACCATGATAGACAATTTGCCCCATGAAAGTTAGAATGTGTTTGTGGCCTTAACTAAGCATTCACTATCCCACAATACTTTGGAATCCGTGAAATTATGTAATCACTTAATCACAATAAAAAATTTGCAAAAAAAAGATTCATTTTTGAAAGTCATGTCACTGTCATGAGACAGTGACTGAAATGTCACCATCATTTTTTAGAAAGCACTAAAATATAAATCACATGTAAAAGCCACATGCCTGGGCATCTATCTATCTACTATCTATCTATCTATAATGTAATGATTAAAGCTAATTTGGGAATCAAAGTCTCTGGGCTTGCAACTTAGCTTTACAATTTAATGTATCTACTTGACTCTGAAATATTTCATAGTCAAGTAAGTCACAATCCTCATTTACTCATTTATTCAGATATTCAAAACACTGAGTCTCTTGAGTATTTTACTATTAGGTGCTGGATCTCAGGCCACTTGCATTAAAGAAATGAAACACACCCTACCATAATGGATTGAAACCTCAGAAACCATGAACTGAAATCAATTTTGTCAAGAAGGAAGGAAAGAAGGAAGGCAAAGAGAAAGAAAGGAGAAAGGAAACAAGAAAAAAGAAAGAAAAAACCCTGCTGTTATGGAGCTCATATTCTATTGGAGGGAGCCAGGCAATTAAATACGTCAGACACTGGTGGCTCATGCCTGTAATCCTAGGCATTCAGGAGGCTGAGATCTGAGGATCAAGGTTAGAAGCCAACCTGGGAAGAAAAATCTGAAAGACATCAACAATTAATTATCAAAAATCCCTAAGTGGAGTTATGGCTCAAGAGGTAGAGCATTAGCCTTGAGAGAATAGATCACGTGAGAGCATATATCTCTTAGTTCAAATCCTAGTCCCAGCACCAAAAAAAATAAGTAAGAAAAATGCATAGCATTCTTAGTAGTGACAAGTGTTGGGAAAAGTAAAACAGAGGAAGGATCACAGGGGCTGCTGGGGAAGCTACAACTAAATAATGTGTGGCTTTTCTGGGGAATCATATTGGAGTCAAGATCTCAGAGAGAGGCAGATACAAACCCAAAGGGTATGGTGGTGGAGAAAGCATTGCAGGGGGAGGGAATGGTAGGGGTTATGACTTTAAAGCAGAAGCAGGCTGGACTTAACTGAAGAAGAGCCAGGAAGCCAGAGTTGCTGGAGCCAATAGGGGAGGCTAAGAAGTAAGAGATGAAGTCAAAGAAGAAGCTGTTCCCTGTTGAGGCTATGTCCCATTGTGAGGCTCCAAGTTCCCTCTGAGTCAGATGGGACGCCCCGGAAGGTTGTGAGCTTATATTTTAACAAGCTTGTACTTTACCACAAGGAGGAGAGATCGGAAAGGCATGAGGGCAGATGAAAGTTATTGTGATCCTCAAGGTGAGAGGGAAGGGGAGCTGATTCAAGGTAGGAGCTGTGGAGGGGTGAAAAGTGATGGATTCTATAAATGGCTTAAAGGCAGAGCAACAAGATTGGCTGACCAGGTTGGAGATGGGATGTCAGGGAACTGGAGTTGCCATTACCTGAGATGAAGAAGACTAGGGTACAGGTTGTTAGAGGTAGGAAATATTAGGAGCCAAGTTTTTTATAGCTTACACTTGAGATGCTCAACATCCAGAGATGTTGAAAGATAGGATGGATGATTGGTCAGGAATTCAGGAGCAAAGGTTGGCATAATAATATTTATCTGTGAAATTGAGATAATAATATAATAATACTTACATCACAATAATTATTGAGAAGATTAAATTCAACCACACTTGCAAAGCTCTCAGAGCAGGCAGGGCCTAGCATATAATAGGCCCAGAGTATATTTTAGCTACTATTTTTATTAAAATTTAAATACTCTCAATAAGTACTTCTTATTGGTAGTAAGGTTTGAACTCAGAGCCTTGCTCAGCTTTCTTGCTCAGCTGAAGACATAGCCACAGCCTGGCTTTTTGTTGGTTAGTTTGGAGATGGAGCCTCATGGTCTTTTCTGCTCCCTGCAGCTTTGAGCTGCAATCCTCTGGATCTCAGTCTTCTGAGTAGCTAGGATTACAGGTGCCAACCAGTGCCTGGCTTTAATGAGTGTTTCTAAAGTTATGAGTACAGTTGCCCTCAAGATAAATAAGTTGTTTCTGATGTCAGTTCCCATAAATGATTTACAAAAGAAAATAAAGTTTCCAGCCATGGCAGTGTCTTTGAAATTTGTTTCAAACCCAATGGAGTTTAACATTTCACTGTCACTTGACAGTCTTTGTAGGGAGACTACGTCAAATTTCTTAAATAATCAGCAGGAAATTTCATTGAGCCAGAATATATTCCATGAGTTGGAGAGGGCTTCATGTGGAGATAGAGGAAGTTTACCAGGAAAAACTGAATGCAAGCAAGATCCCTCTAAGAGACATTTCTCAGCCTATTTGTGACACAGGACAGGACATTTAAATGGAATGAAATATTGGAAGGGACTCTGGTTATATTTTGTTAGCTATATATGTTATGTTATTGAGGGCTACAAGCTTAGCTGATCCATGACCTGGATCTGAGTTCTCAGAGGAACTTTCCTTGAAGAAATACACTCTTGCTATCTCCTATTCATTTATTTAGTGATCTTTGGCTGTTTTATGCTGATGTCATTTTATTTCATATGTCTAGATCTATGAAGCAATGAGAGTCTAACATCAAGACCTAAACGATGGGGTTTCTCATTAATTTTACATCTCTTTGAATTTTGACTATCAGTCCTTGACCCTATAATTCTCATTCCTAGCTCTATGACAGGCCTAATGCTGAAAAATGGTCTAATAATAAGTCCTCCTAATTTCCATCTGCTCCAAAAGAAAAAGGTGCTGATGTGGTTCAAACAGCCCCAAAATGCTTCTGTTATAAATGGATCAGAAAGGTCACATGCAGTCAGACCCTATCTGGAGAATTTAGCCAGAGCAATACAACACAGACCAGCAGATGGACTTACTACTGAGGGAGGCACAGAGAGTAAAGGGTCAGTAAAGCAAAGAAGAGCTCTTTGGAATCCTTTATCTTCCATCTTTAAACAAAGCTACATACACTCAACCAATTACTGCTAATGAGGAGGTCATTGTTCAATGAAGCTTCAGGAAGCACCAATTTCATTCCTTCTCCCTAATTCTTTGTTAAGTTTTAATTTCATTCATGGTTACTTTCCTTTGAATTGTGGCTCCATGTGAAAAATAACTCTTCTTTTTTCCCAGGAGTTAGAAGAGAAAATATCTTGGCATACCATAGCCTAGCAGGATATGTGAGGGTTGAAGGTCTTCTTAATCTGTGGTTTCTTATTTGCACCCTGCTTCTGCCCAGTGCTGGGCTATGTAGCCTGGAATTTCAGGT